AAGCATATAACATATACAACCCCAGCAGAGGCCATTAAAAGAGCAAAGCCTCTGAATTTGGCAGAGGCCAGGGTCTGACCTTTTCTGGTGGCTAGCTGGCTAGCTTGGCAGATGGATGGTAATTAGTTGTAGGCCCGGTTAACTAGCTGCCTGGCTGCCTGGCCATTAAGATGGCCAGCATATTTTCGCGGCATTGCCAATAATGCATGATATTGTGAGCATGCCACATGTGGCATGGCCTGGGTTAGAGTCAAACTAAACGCAACTTTCGCTTTCCATTTGATCGGGCCGCATTCGGTAGGTAGGTAACATAGGTAGGTTCACATGCATGAATGAATGAGAGGCCACTTGGCTCAGCTCGGCTTGGCTTGGCTTGGCCTGGCTTGGATGGCGGCTTAACTGTTTAAATAATTATTACTTGTTCGTCACTTGCGCAAAAATTGCCCATTTACCGTTGCTTTGTTAGTTTTTCCTCACAACCCTGTGCCGGTAAAAAAAAACAAAAAAAAAAATCCGAAAAAAAACACAAATAAAAATAAAGAAAGAAAAATAATGAAAACAAAGCGGGAGAAACAAGTCTTTGTCAAAAAGGAAAGAGTCCAACAAAAAAAAAAGAAGAGTTTTACGCTCCGCTGCCTGTGCTAACAAGCCTGAAGACATTTTAATAAGAACACTTTGCACACACAGCCAGGCCTCCTCCATCCAGTCGGAGTCGCAGTCGCACTCCTATGGAGTGTGCGACAGTTATGATCGCAATTACCCCACACACCAAACCAACCCGAACTGTGCGACTGCGAGTGCGAGTTATTTCATTCCAGTGATTTCCCCACGCGACGACGCTACACTGCAAAATTGGTTATTAATTATAGATACATTATATGTCTTGTCAAGCAGATCACCATAGCAAATTTCTCTGATATCTTTTAAAAGCTAATTAGGGCAGGGAAAACCTTTGGCAAACTAACCAACCGAGTCCCATTTTATTTTAAGGGTACCTTTTTAACTTCTTTATCAAATGTATCTCAAAGATATTTATAACCCTTCAATCTCCAGCTTTTTAATTCAAATTTAAGGCCTTGATTTTCGCTCAGTGTGACACTTAATCCCACCTCTTCCCCCTCTTGCCACCGCTTTGAGCAGTTCACACACTTGCGGCGGGCCGCTTAACGGTGCTTTTGCCTTTGCGGCCTGCGCTTTGACGCTTTGTCATGTTTTTTTTTTCGGGGGGCCAAGAAAAGCCCAAAGGGGCAAGGTAGTAAGGTAGTATGGTCTAGGGTATACGCTATAGTATAATTAATTAGGCGCAGCCACAACAGAGCTCTCTTCCTCTTCCGCCGAAGTACGCAAATTGGGTTGCACTTTCTAGCAGGAAGGCAAAGACGCACCTTAGCCTCTTCTTGCAGACCCTTTCCGCTGCACTCGGTTTCGGATTCTACGCGTAGAAAGTTTTTAATACCCGAAACGAACGCCTAACTGGGTCTCCAACTACTATTTATTTATGCTCTTTGCGGCGCCACATGGGCTTTGTTTAAGCAGCCGAGGAGAAGTCCGCCCGGCGGTAATCGACAGTAATTGCAATGCAATTTTCGTTAATTACCACAAAAGTGTAACAAAAGCAGCGGGAAATACGCGGCGACGACTCTCACTTTCCGGCAGCTGGAGAAGAGTGTCGAGTGCGTGCCGTGCTGCAGATGGTGCTTAAAAAAAAAAATAAAGAAAAACGCAATATTTTAACACACTGAAAGCCCGCTGATTTGATTGACGCCCCGAGGAAGGCGTCTTGCAGTAGTAAACTAGCAAAGCGGCCAAAAGCAAATGTTGACAAGTGAATGGTCTTTGGCTTTCCGAGCCTGGGGGCAAATGCAACCAACCACCACCACCACCATGACCAGGATGGAGACGAAGGAGATGAAGATGGAGCTGGAGTTAGACTTGCAGTTGGACTCGAAGATGGAGCTGCATAAGTTGGTAGCATCCACAGTTCAGCTAACTGTTGCAGAGTTTAATTGACGTCTCATGCTGGCGGCAGTAAAATGCATTTACAAAAACCTCAGATACTCAGATACTTGGATACCTGGATACTTGGATACATGGATACTTGGTTACTCTCGGCTACCCTCGGTTAGCCATCGTATTCGACGGCTGACAGTGCGGCTCACAACTGCCAGACAGCTGCAAGTCTGACTGAATTAAATTATCAAATGTTTGGTTTTCACGAAAAAAAAAGACGATAGAGATGAATTTAATATCTAAATTTGACAAGAAATAATAGAACAGTGAGGGTGAAATTCAGTTAAATTACAAATTTATGAAGTAAATATACTTTAAAATTGAAATATTTATATATCTTATACAAAATAGCTTTAATAATATCTATGAAGGTTAAAAAATCAATTTTAAAGCGAATTACGCTTCGGTTTTATCCACATAAAATTGAGACTACCTCTTCCTTATTGTTTCCTATCTTATTATTTATATTAAAATTATATTTTCATATAATCATGCTGCGTGGCCTGGGCAAATTTTAATAAAAAATCATTACCCCAGACAAGCACCCGCGGAGATCTGACACCTTACAGTAACGATCATCACTGTAGTAGTAGCCTGTGGTTTTGGGTAACGTTGCGTGGACGTCGACAGACTGACTGACTGCCTTGACTGAGTGGCTAGTGAATGCCACAAAGCATAACATTTTTGGCCAGCCTTTTGTCTCGGCTGCAATTCTTTATGCCAGGGTTTCCACTTAATTGCGATGCAGCTGGAAGAGATGGAACGATGGGACGATGGGGAGATGCATCTTGGCGTGACTTCTAATGCCCATTGAGTGCTCACCCAGCCAGTTCCGACTTAAACTCGATGAGTGCTGCCAAGCTCCACGTCCACAGTTTGTTGTGGTGATGATTAGACACAGACATTAAATGCATTTCCCCGCAGTCTCTAGGTTTAAGTTTTCCTCGATCCTCGCAAAGCGTGTGGAAATTTGTGAATTATGCACTGTGCCATATCAATTACTGAGCGTGGAAGAATGAGCTTGTAATTAATGACTTCTCCTCTTTTTTTTTGTTGTTGTTGCAGGGTGCTGAGGCCTCCGGGCGGCGGATCGAGCGACATCTTCGGATCGGAGATGCCGCAGACCCCCAGGAACGTGAAGAATCGCATGGTGTCCAACATTTTTGCTGCCGAGAAAGATAATGGAGTGAAAAATAACGGTAAGTTAAAGGTCGCAACAGAATATATACCAAATATTTCTTATAGCTGTGTGATTATTTTATTGGAAAAAAGAAACTTGATTTGATTTTAATTTTGATTGGAAAACTGTGCTTAAGACGACGTCCTTAGATGATGGATTCTTTTTGATTATTAAATGCTTATTAAATGTCTATCGTTTTCTTCCCGTTCTTGTTCTCGTTCTCGTTCTTCTTTATTTATTTTTTCCTTCGCCTACCCCCCCGCTCTATATTTCTTTTCTTTTTCTACGTATCTTTGCAGTACGACAAGGAGCTCACAGATTCTATTTCATTGGTACTTGAACTATGTCTCCTCCTCTTTCCCCCTCATTCATGTCAAAAAACAAAACTGCACAGAGTCCTCTTTACACAGTGTTAACCCCAAAATTGTGTTCACTTTACTTTCGTTGTTGTGTCAAATGTGGCTGTTGTTTTGTGCTAATTTCAAATCCTCAGTTTGCACTAGGCCCTGAACACTACTTCTCATCTAATCCCCACTCCTTGTAAACTCACTCCTCATCTTAGCCACTTCCCACAAAGCGTATTATTGTCCCACTCCCATTCAAGAAGTTGGAATTGCAACCGGTTTGCTTCCTTTATTCCACCTGCTGCTGATGACATTTTGGGTTCACACAGATAAAAGCCAAAAGAACTCAAGGCTTTTCTCTTTGAATTTAGCTAACCTTTGCCATTCACCATCGCACAAATGAAGAAAAACAAAAGAATAGTTAGGAAATTGTAAAGGTTTTAGCTAGCAACATTTATTTTTAAGAGTAACATGTACCTTATATAGAAGTATACCTTTAATATAAAGTGGGAATTAAGTGCACTTAAAATTCCCAAGTAAGAATTTAGCGACACTTCTATCAAAAGATAAATATCTATTTCTCGATATAAAATTACTTTTTGAACTAAATATAAAGGCAAATGGTTTTTTTTTTTTGTAAGTGTAAATTATAGATTTCATTAAAAACCATGGACTATTTTTAGATTTTGAAACGTAAAATGCGATGTTATCGAACTAGATTTTCGATATATTTTTCGATATTAAATCAAGGACTTTTTTCACTCATTCCTTATCAAAAATTCCATGTAAATAATTAATTAATTAATTCAAAAGCATCTGAATTAATATGTATATTTCTAAAATAAATTAAAAGGCAAGCTTATAATTTCTAATGTTTTTCTTTTAGCAATATATGATTTAGTTCTCTGTGTACACTCACCCCATCCACTGTCCCAGTCTTGTACCTGTTTGTAAAAACACAATTAAGAAACTAATTTAAACATTCTACTCTCCAACACAAATCCACTAATTTGATTATTTGATTTTCTTTGGTTTCCCCAATTTGTTTTTTTGCTTTTCCCTTGGAATTGTAATCCAACAATGATGATGACTACAATGATCCGGATGGTCAGGTGATGCACCGCGTCGCGGCCAGAAGACCGTCGACTCGCACTCTCGGCTGTTTGGTGAACCCTCGCGCCCCATCACCCCTGGCAAGAACCACATGAAGAGCAGCATTCCCTTCGGGCAGAACACAGAGGCAGCTGCCGCCCAAAAGCTGCTGACCACCACCACCAATGGCCACTACAATGGCAAGAGCGGATCCGTGTCCTCGGCCTCATCTTCGGTGTCGTCCTCGACCGAGAATCTCAAGATGAGCAGATCAGGTGAGAAACCATAGGTTTACATTAAAAAATATATATAGTAGTCGCTGGATATGGAAATCGAACCGAATCTGGGAACTGTCAAAAGTGTAAGCTGGCCTACAGCTGGGAATAGATTCAGTACGATCTCAGAGCGGCAACTAGCAACATCGATATAACGATTATTGCGCTCAAACCAAAATTTTTAAAAATATATCGAAACGAAATTGTGATTCACGTTCTATCAAATTTATATATATACATATATTTGTAATATATTTCTACTACTGCACACACTCACGCACTAAAAACCAACCTCGCAAATCTTGCAAACGTGTTCCGTACTTCGTCTTCGTGTCCGTATTGTGTCGTATCTCTCGTTTCCGGTCAAGTCTACCGCAATATGAGCAGTGAGTATTGGTAGTGTCCAGCGTTAGGACTCGCCCTTATCCCTCTCAATCCGCCTGCTCCCGCTCCCGTTCCCGCGCCTTTCGCTTAGCATCAGTACCAGCTCCAGAACCTAGAGAATCTGCTCCAGTTGAACGCGAGGAACCTGCTGCTGCTGCTGCTCGCTTGACTGTAGACAACGAGCCTGAAGTCGCCGCCAGTGCTATCTCAAGCCAGACTGAGGGCCTAGCTATCGATCAGTTGTGTGTGGATAAAGAAGTGGGAGACGTTCCGGCTGATAACTACCTCTATACAGAGTCTGGTCAACGCGACGAGGCAGATCAAACACGCAAAGATTCTGGGACCGATCCCGAAAGGCCCGTTTCCCTCGATAAGATGGCGGGAGCACCAAATCTCCTGGAGCCTTTGGACCCGTGCCCCGATAATGTAGAGGATCCAAAGGAGGCTTGCCGACTGGATTCTCGTAACCCGATCACGGGCCTGGGTCTCAACGGGGATGGTGTGGGTGGACTGAAGCCAAAGAAGTTAAAGATACGAGGTGGGCGATGGTTGTGTACACGCTTTCCTTTCCCAAATTCCACAAAGTAGCGCCAATATCCCATTTAAACTTTTTGTTTTTCGAGTTTTAGATTGATTTAGATATATTTTAAGCCTTAGTTAAATCCTTTACAAATTTAGATTTATAATAATAAATCTTCCTTTTCATCTGCAGAGGGCAACCCCGTCACCGGCGAGGGCTACAAGGCCGGAGGCACCGATTATCAGCATCGCCAGGACACTTCCCATGGCGGCACTCCTATTATCAACAAGAATCGCGTTCCCCCAGGCGGCTACTCTTCGGGACTGTGGTAATGGCGACGGGAATTGATCCAGGATCCCCAGCACAATGTGTGGCGTAATGGCGGGATGGAGGAGGAGGAACCACAAGAAAAAAACCAAGAAAACAAAAACAGATACACAAAAAAAAAATTAAATCGTACTACCCCATATACGCATAACCCTTACCCTTACCCTACGTACACACACACAACAAGGAGCAGCACATGCGATCGGAGTAGTAGCGGCAGGCCAGCAAGTTTTGCCAACGAATACAAGAGAGAACTCATTGCTCAACGAGACGGAGATCACCGACGACGACGACGATGCTGCACACCCAAAACGAGAGTTAATCGAACACATTTAAGCGACATTCGCACTTAAACCCAACCACTACCAGAGACAAGCCCCCCTTTGAAGACCTACATTTTAAATTCTTTAGTTTATGTAAACCCATGTCCCCTGCCTCCCATCCCATACAGCTCAAGGGTATGGATATAAAAGCAGATCAAGGCGCAACGGGACTTTGCACACCTTTCGATATTTTAATGCTAATTGCATTAACCACACGCTACATCTATATATTTATATCAATCGCATTCACACGACCACTCACATACATAAACTACATACATACATAATATACATTGTATTACCATTACATTAAATATGTAATTTAAACAGTACGCATGTACGTACTAATGTGCACGTACTAATAAGGTGTAAAAATACAAAATTCAAACGCGAATATTTGTTCAATAAAGATCCTTTCGTACATAAGTGTGATTTGTTGTTCGATTTTATAATGGGGGATTTTAATGTAAATTGTTTATTGGTTTTTAAGGGTTTGTTAAAAGTAATAAAAATGGAAATGCCAAAATCACAAAAAACTAAGAAGTACTTTGCCAGACATAACTCTCCTTTTTCAGAAGAAAAAATATATTTATAAATAAAATAAAAAATGTCAAAATCATATCTGATTTTAAATAATTTCAAGTTACAAATTTTGAATCAATCGATAACTAGATACACAATTTTACTTACCGATTGGTATTCGATTTCTACATTTGACACGATTTGTAAATAAAATTTACATTTGACACTACGGTAACCGATAAGCCAAATTTAGTGTGCCCAAAGCCGCGAAAGTGCAAATTTCTGGGGAAATTTTAACTATTTCGAAAATTCCACCTGGCCACACTGTAAACGCCGCAAACAAAATGGTTTTTGCAGATTAAAAATTTAATTTTTTTGCAATATCTGGGAGTCTTTGCTATAACCAGATGTCCCAGTGGTCGACAGAGAAGTGCTAACGGTACCGTGACGGTGAAGATGGAAACGCTGCGCTGCGGAAAAGCCCAGAAGAGCTCCGGCAAAGTGAAAAGGCTGCAGCCGCAGACTGGCGTAGGATACGAAAACTAGTTTCTCACAGACGAGACCACACACTCACGCACACGCACAAGTAGAGCTTGCCACACAAAGCCTATTCCCAGAAATGGAAGGCATGGACCTGTGGACGTCGATGTTCTCCTCCGAGTTCGAGGACGGCGAGCCAGAAGGGGGCGGCGAGGCAGAGCTGCTGGAGGGAGGGGAGGATGGCGGGCAGTATGGCAACGGAAATGGTGACTTTATGGACGACACGGCGATCCTGGAGGCTGGGGATGGCGTGGACGATCTGCTAGATGGCGAGGACGATGAGCGGGAGGAGGAGGAGCACGAAGATGTCACGGAAAAAGAGACAAAAAGACCGGAACCGGACGACGATGCACTCTTCGACTTTGAGCTGGAGCCGATTGTGAGTATTGGAGAGCCCACGCCGGGTTCGGCTCTAGCTCCAGCCGGTCCGATGGGCGCCCAAGTGCGTCCAGCCCTGCAAAGGCATTCACTGCCACCCCAAAGTCGGCCGATTGGCTATTCGGTGCGGCCAACTACCTCGCAAATCAACGCCACTGATGAGAACGGTGTGCCCATCAACTATGAGCTGGGCGTGGTGTACATTTGTCCAGCCTGCGGCGGAGAGTTCCGGCAGCAGGATCACTGGAAGCGGCACATGAATCAAATCCACAGGTACAATACCCTGCGTGGCCTCAACTTTGCGCCGCTGGACAAGCTGTATCAGCGCTGCAAGGAGTGCCACAAGCGAATTGCCATGCACAGCCGGGAGAACCTGCTGAAGCACAAGTTTACGCACCTGCCCTTTCGGTGTACCAAGTGCTACATCTGCAAGCGGGAGTACAAATACAGGTGGGATGTCTTTTACTAGCTGTTTGCCTCCAGTCTGAGCTTCTATATATTCCCTTACAGGCAAGATCTAATGGTGCACCTACGCATGGTCCACTGCGATGAAGTGGTGGCCATGATGCGGGAGGGTTACAATGCTGCCGGACGCAAGACCCGTGTAAGAGAGTCTCGGACAGAGCAAATGCAAAGGGAGAAGAATTTCCTGGAGGGTGAGGACCTGGATCATATTGAGGTGCGAAACGAGCTGTTAGAACCGGATATTGATGAGGAGTCTGGCGGCCTGGAGCATCATCAGCCACTGCTGGTGGAGGAGACGCCTCACAAGAAGCGAAACCGTGGCAGTGGCGAAGAAGCTACCGAGCTGTGTGAGGATTACATCCACTACATGTGCCCCGATTGTGGGACCGAGTGCGACACCCATGCCCAGTGGAGCCAGCACATAGAGTTCGTCCATGACTATGTCAGTCGGCGTGGGCTCAACTTTCGGAGCGTGGATATGCAGATGCAGTGCCTCGAATGCAAGAAGGTGAGTCTTAAATGGGGGTTATAATAACTCGATTTTCCTTAACGTTTCTGATCCTTGCCAGATTGTGATCCCCAACACCATCAAGTCGCTGCGCTCCCACAAATTCAGTCACCTGTCGCATCCCGAGTGGCTGCGCTGCAAGCTCTGCTACAAGGGCTACACGGATCATGCGGAACTGGTTAGGCATCTGCTAAAGCATCATCATCTGGAGAGTCTAATGTCGGAGGACCCGGGCCTGGAAGAGGAGGATGCTTCACCCACAGTAGATGGGGGAAATGAAGGTGAAGACAACAATGGCAATGGGACCGCCTTGGACGAGGACTCTCCCTACTTCGAAGACGCCCCCCGACGCGGCGGTCGCATTAGCAGCGATGACATTTTCGAACCCCACATCGACTACCTCTGCCCGCAGTGCGGCAAGGAGTTCATCGAGAAGAAGCACTGGCGCACCCATGTGGTCATGGCGCACAGCATGAACGATCTGTCCAAGCTGAACTTTGAGATGATCAACGAACGGCAGCTGAAGTGCACTGAATGCGAGAAGATCATCACGAATGCCTATGGCATACAGAATGCCCAGCAGCACAGGATCACCCATCTGCCGTTCAAGGCATATGCCAGATGCCGCAAGTGCCACAAGTCCTACACGGATCGCAAGGGTCTCGTCAAGCATCTGGCCACCTATCACCGGATTGGGTGTGATGCTAGGAAGTCTGGAGGAGCTGCATCTTTACCCAAGCAGCCACGCAAGCAGATTGTGACCGTGGCCAATGAGACCTACGAGATTATCTACCTGGACGATGTGGAGCAGGGCCCCAGCTTGGAGGATGAGAATGATTTTGGGGAGCAGATGCTGGCTGATGAGGATGATTATCCGGTTATTCAGCCACCGCCGCCGCTACATCGGCATGTGCCGCCTCCACCACGACCCTCCTCCACTCAGCAACGCTACAAGTGCGTCCACTGCAGCGTTCTCTTCCCCACCCAGATGGCCGTGCGCGTGCACATCAGTGAGAAGCATCCCAGGAAGCCCCATCAAATGGGCAGAAGACATCGCCATTCGCTTTCGAATTCTGGAGGAGCGGACTCGGGCCTTACCACCGTGGAGCAGAACTACATATTCCTGTGCCCCTCCTGCGGCAAGGAGTACAAGACGCAGTACGAGTGGCGGCGCCACATCAACGAGGAGCACAACTTTGACAAGCGCAACTATCTGAACATGCGGCAGTTGGACAAGTATCGCTATCAGTGCACGCAGTGTAAGGACATTGTGTGCAACTCGAAGCTGAAGGGTCTACAGGACCACCACTTCCGTCACCTGCCCTATCGCCTGTATCTCAAGTGCTTGGTCTGCGGCACCTGCTACAACCACAAGCCGAACATAGCGGCGCATCTTAGGGCGCGACACAACATCTATGACAGGGAAACGCCCCTGATAGTCAAGCCGAAGAGTGTCTATAATCGTGGCAAGGATGGTGAGAGAGAAAAGGTCTCACTAGCCACTGCCGCTCCCTCAGCCGTCTCTCCACCCGGCTGCTCCTCCTCCACGTCCGCCTCAGCTGTTGTTGTTCCAGCTCCAGCTGCTCCCGTGGTCAGTCGCACGCTTAAGCCCCAACCTGGAGACCTGCCCACACGACCCGCCGGCCTGAACACCCTGGAGGACAGCATCTCCTACCACAATGCCGTGGACATGGACTTTATTACGTACTTCTGCCCCAAGTGCAACCAGAACTTTGACTCCCATGCCTTCTGGCGCAAGCACATTGTGGAGCAGCACAACTTCAACAGTCGCGAGGGTTTGAATTTCCGGCAGATCGACAACCATCACTACCTGTGCCTGGAGTGCTACAAGCGCGTCACGGTGACCCACACCAAGGGCGCCATTGGTCAGCTGCAGTCGCACAAGTTCCGGCATCTGCCGCATCGCTCCTTCAAGTGTCTAACCTGTGACGCCTCGTTTGTGCGCAAGCAAATGTTCTTCAAGCACTTGAATCGTGACACCAACCGCTGTGACAATCGTCCCCAGCGCGAGTTGGACGACGAAGAGCCCAGCCAGGACTCGCAGCTAGGCACCATTTACCATCTGGCCTGTCCGCAGTGCGGCGATGACTTCAACACGCCCAGCCGGAAGCAGTGGCGAAATCACATCAATGTCCTCCACGGCCTGACCACGCTGGATCTGCTGCACATGGAGAAGGTGGATGGAGCGGAGGATCTCTATCGCTGCCAGGACTGTAACGAGGAACTGCAGACGAACCGGCAGTGGGTGCTGCAATACCACCGCTTCCAGCATCTCCCGCAGCCGGCCTACATACGCTGCCAGCTGTGCGAGCAGAGCAGTGAAAGGGATGCTTCAGTGGTATCTGGGATGCACAGTCTACGCGAACTGCAACAGCATCTGCGCAAGCATCATGCCACAACGGTGGGCGAGAATGAGATGCAAATGCTCCGCGAACAAATAGCCCAGGAGGAAAAGGAGCAGCAGGAGGAGACACTGGGCCTCGGTGGGGGAGATGAAGAGGACAACCAGGTGGGCCAGGACTCGGGGCCCTATATGCCGCTTCCGCCGCATTTATTGGACGATGGAGACGACGTAGAGTTTGAGGACCAGTATCTACTGGGCTAGGGTTTGTCTTTGAAGTAATCGCAGGGGAGAATGTAATCTTTACAATTTTTAATATTTTTTTAAAATTTTTCTAGTCTTTAAAGGGTTTTTTTTTTAACTATCCTAAAACTATCATAAAACTATCTTAAATAGTTCTGTTTTTGTTACGGAAATCTCAGACAATTGTAGATATTTTAAAAAATTACTGGTTTTAATTTGTTTTTGATTGTAAGGGAATTTTTAAATTATTTTAAAATTTTAATTAGGTTTTAAAGGAATTTTTAAATTATTTTAAAATTTTAATTAGAATTTTATAAATTTATAATGAAATCATTTTACTTTAAAACTTGTTACTTACTAAATTACAAAGATTAAATTCTTTTTTTAAAGCTCTTATTTCTTTAAAAGAAATTTAAGTTTTACAAAGATTACATTTTATTGCTGCGATTCAATTAGGATTTTGTTTTAATTTTTTAAATAAATCAATGGGGTTTTACCTAGAAATGGCAAAGATAGATATTTCACCCGAAAGTCAATATATTTTAATGCTAAAATATATGGCCATATACATCACTAGGATTAACCCTATATCCACATCCGATTCCACTTCCAATAAAAAAAACAACCATACTTCCAGTGCTCGGCAGTGTCCCTTAGAAGCGTCTCTAAAGGGTCTGCGTTTTCATGAGATTATAAGCAGAGTATTTCTTAGAACTTACAGATAATGACTCTTTAGCTATAGTGCCACACCCCCTAACATTACTAGTCGTAAGTCCTCAGCTATTTATTTCCAGGCCTAAACTGTATGAAACTGATATTATGGAAATTATAATAAATCAATAATATATACATATATGCTAAGGATTACAGTTACTTGTATGCCAGGTCCTTCGACTAATCAGGAATTAGTCAGCGAATAATATGTCTCTCTGCAGCTACGATTGGTTAAGTGTCTCTGTTTAAATAATGTTAATAAATAAGACATTTAATTAGATAAAAACTGATACATTTTCTTGGGGATTTTCAGGCTTATCTTAAGGGGGTATTAATTTAATTTTTTTTTACGTAAATTATTATACCCTTGTAGGGTATTATAATTTCAGTCAAAAGTTTGCAACGCAGTGAAGGAGACGTTTCCGACCCTATAAAGTATATATATTCTTGATCAGCATCAACAGGGGAATCATTCTAGATATGTCAGAAAGAAATCGATTTGTTGGCCAATTTTGCAAAATTTGATAAGGGGTTACATCATTAAAATTTTTGATTTTGATAAAAAATTGAATTTTCAAAATTTTTAAATGAAGTATGCAGATTTATTAACTGTAGAAAATCTTGCACAGAACAGTTTTCCGATTTAAAATTAATGCTCTTTTGGCCGAGTTATGATATTTTTAATTTAAAAAAATCAAGACTTTTTTAATTTAAAAAAACCAAGACTTTTTTAATATAAAAAATCAGATTTTATAATACAAAATAATATTTTTCTAAGTCAAGGAATCATTTCCGACCCCATAAACCATATATATTCTTGATCAGCATCAACAGGGGAATCTCTCTAGACATGTCCGGAAGAAATCGATTTTTTTGCCATTTTTGCGAAATTCGATAAGGGGTTACATCATTAAAATGAGCAAAAATGACCAAAAATTTTGATTTCTTAAAATTTTAAATTTGGTATGCAGTTTTTTTTAATTAATAAAAACTAACACAAAACTGCTTTCCAAATCGAAATTAATGCATTTTTGGCTTAGTTATGATATATTTTAATTGTTACCTGCAAGGGTATACAAACTTTGGCTGGCCAAAGTTAGCTTTCTTTCTTGTTTTTATTTGAAATATAACTTCTTTAGGTAATTATGCAGGTACTCACGTCGAGCATTTTTTAATTTTTAATTTTATTATATTTTTTATTTAACAAACTAACTTAATTTATTAGTCAAAAATAGTGGTTTTGACTTCAAATTTTGATAAAACATAGGGAAAAAAATTTAAAATTAAAAACGCTACGTGAGTACCTCGGGACATTTATCCTTTAAGGAAGGAGGTATAATGTTTGTAGATCGGATGATTCTGCTCCTCTACCTCTAAATATTTTTTAACAAAAAAATTAACAAAAATTTTTAAAATGCTGTGTTATTATATGATATTTAATTCATTAAGCTAACTCTAGCCGTTTCGTCACAATAAATTTGTGAAAAGTGGCCCGTTTTGCATCGAATTAAACTTACCCCCCCCCCCCTAAAGAAAAACAATTTTCTTTGATTTTTTTCATGTATTTTTTGTTTTATTAGTAATAAAGTTTAATATTTAGTTCGTTTCAAAACCACGCACTATTGAAGGTAAATATCAACATTCTCATCTCGGAGCAGAAATACGGATAAAGTAGTAAAAAGTAGTAGATCTATGCTATCTCGTCACAGCGACAAAAGTCCGCCGACATAAACAGGCCCAGTAACAAAATCTAATGGGTGTTAATCCTTTCGTTTAAGTCACCGGACTTGTGGGAAATCGATAGCTCCTGTCCTGTGTCAGCTGCCTTGGGGTGGTGATGATGGTGATCATAATACGATATGTTCTGGGTCTTCTCCATAGGGGCTTTCAATTTTAAATTACATTATCATAATAATAATAATAATAAATATGTAATAAATACTTTTGAAAAGCATAAACAAATTGCACGCTCATAATAATTGCCACTAAATGAATAATACGAATACGAATACAGATACAAGTCCAGCCCCAAATGTGCTCAACAAAAGAATTGGCTTAAAATTAGACAAACTGATTGCTTGGAATGATGTCTCCGTAATTGACTGACCGCGTAAACTGTCTAAAGCAGTTCCGGTCACTCGACTCGCCTCGCCTCCGCTTTGTGCACGATCTTTCGCCTTCTTCTCCTATTCGATTGTAAACGTAAAAATCTTATGCAACTCAATGCACATTGTTGTGTTTGTGTGTTTAGTAACAATTTGTTAAAGTAGTAGTAGCTGCTAACCCTCTCACAGGGTTGGCATATTGCGTCGATGTCCGCCGGACTCTGCCTCCTGTTGCGCCTTCTGCTTGGCCCGACGCGCCTTCTGACGCGTATGCTCGATCTGAAAGTCCTCGACACGCAGGTTCAGACGCATCATGTTATTGATGATGAATTCCTCCTCGACAATGTGCTCCTCCGGCGAACGTAGCACTTCCAGTGTTTCGCACAGACCTGTGCACGTCTTGCGCACCTTGTGCCGACTTAGCGAGGCTCCGATGATGACCAGGGCCACCTTAAAGATCACCCGTATGCCCTCGGCCAGAAAGCAATCCCATACGCGCAGGAGCGTCTCCCAGGGCAGGGTTCGGGTCATTGCGCAGAGGAACCAATCGGTCATGTAGAGCAGGGGTTCCACTTTGTGCTTCTGCAGGTGACGATATACGGGCGGGCAGGTCTTCTTCAGAAGGCCCTCCAGGATGCCGGCATCGTTCTGGATCACCTCCAGGCCGGGTATGAAGTAGTCCTGTAGGTAACTGCAGGGAAAAGATTATAAAAATTATTATTTTGATTTTTATTACAACGGAAAACCTTGACTTACACATCACAAACACTGACAAACACCCAGAAGGCATCCTCTGCGGGCAGGTGCATCAATAGAAAGGCTGCTATCGGTGCCTGCGCCTGGCAGAAGCCCACCTTCGGGTTGTAAATCGAGTAGGCTTTGAGCACATTGAAGAGTTCAATCTGTCCGACTTTCTGCTCGTCGAGGAACATTTCGTGGAAGGGAAACTGACGATGCTTGTCCTTTTTGATCTCCTCGATGGTCGTGGGATTGCCGGGCTTCTCCAGCAGTTCGCTGTAGACATTGGGGTTTTTCTTTTTCAGCAGATACGCCCCGGATAAATAGAACCAGGCCTTGGGCCGCACCGATTTTGGTATGCCCTTGCGACAGCGATCACGGATCTAAAGTAAAATAAATGTATCTTGATAAAAATACTCATAAAATAATGGTAGTTCTTACCTTCTTGTAGTTCTTGGACATGTATGTGGACCAGTTCTCAATCATGTAGAGCCATTTCTTTTCCCTGGCTATGATCTGTGCCTTGGACAGCGGCTCCTTGGGCTTGTCTGTGCGCTGGAAACCACCGTAAAAGCCATTCCGATCCGGGCAACTGGAGACGGTGGAGCACAGGGAGATGGTGTCCAGGGAACGCGGTGCCGTGGCCATCGCCGAAGCGACAGTGAACTGAAAAAGCAGAGCACAAATTGTTATACGATCAGCCTCTCTATACGCCCACTAGCAGAACCCACTAATTGTGTATGCAAATTCACTGGGACTGAGATACAGATAGATAGATAGATAGATATATAGACAGAGACTGGGAGAGCCTCTCCCTGCTGTTTGAATAATACAAAGTGCGCAATTAAGTGCACTCTCTCAGTCTCTCTTCACAATTTTGATGACCCGCATAGTTTTTTTTCGGCTATCTCGAAGCCTTATCGCTGGCAAGGCCAACATCAAATTGGGCAGTTTGTAAGAGATAACTATAAGTTGACCGCGAATTATGAGGTTTACGCTTGCACCTCATCTTCGTGGAGTAAGCTCAGTTCGTTGAGACTGCCGCTGAGGTATGGAAAAGGCATTGTGCGTCCAGCAACTGAAAGGTAATCTAGTTTGTTCACTTGCTTCCTGCTTAAGGCTAAGACTTGTGAGCAAGTAAACAGCTGCTTATTGGTCACTAATCGCACTTAAACGAAGGCATTACCACCCCCTAGTGATTACACATCAGCTGCTGAGGTGCCTCAGAACGGAATGGGGGGCAGTGAAAGTAGCAACTACTATATATATTCACTCGCTTCTCCCTTGGCTAATGACACTGGGGCACGGGCTGTTGCCGCTGCCACTTGCTGCTCCGCCGGATGCTCGAGTTTTGCCTAATGAGCAAGTCACTTCACTTCACCTCACCTCACCGACGACTGCCACAAAAACAACAACTAATTGAGGCAACTGTGCCCGTCTGCCGCTGAACAAGTGGCTGCATAATGGCAAAAGCAAGACAAAAGAGGGCCTAGAAGGAAAATTGGCCAAGGAGAACGACTATTGGAATACTCTTTGAGGCTTAATATTACTTCCTGGATTGTGTAAGGAATCCTAAATGCTTTATTTTGATCATGAATTGTTAAAAATGTCAGCTATGTGGTAAGCTTTTATCCGGTTTCCCTCTGGTTTAAGGTTTAATGCCACCATTCTTAAGAGATGCTAATTTTTCTTTATTAAATTAGATTTACTATCGACTCCGTCAAATTTATTTATGATAGGCCATATACACTGCACTCCAGATATAAAGTAGAGTACTATTTGTATTATTTTTTAATCCCTTGCAAAAACGATAGTAACACATTGAAGGAGCCATTTGCGACCCTATAAACAATATTGATTATTAATCAGCATCAACAGGCGAGTGTTTCTAGTCGTGTTGGAAAGAATCTTTTGTAAAATAAATCAAAAAATGAGATAGAGTCGATTCCTTGGATATAAAATAAACCAATTCTTGCCAAGAGTCAACATACCCTTCCTCAAACTTGGCGCATAAATCAGCGAAAGGGGGAAAGCACACTAAACAAGACGGAACAGGAGGGCGTACATACATACATATGTACATGTGCAATCTCTGGCAAAGATACCCGGCGTGACAATATCCGACCTTCGCAGGCCTACCCGATCGGAGAACGGAATTAGAACCTTATCGCTGCTGGGTGGCCGAGTCATAAGCAAGATCGCAGTGTTGGCGCAAGCAAACCTCGGTGAACAAACGGGGGCGGGGACGGAGGCGATGGGCGCTCGGTGGAGGTGTTAGGTGGAAACTAAACTTAACTCAATTTGTTTTTGGGCTGCCATTTTGCCTACGCGCTCCAAAATGAGTGTGCCAGTGTGTGCGTGTGTGGGGTTGTACGTGCACAATACATGGCAATTGTTGTTATTAACAGTGAACCATTCGAACACCGCCCGCCCCCACATTCACATGTAAACTTTTGCCTCACCTTTTACAATGTTGTTGTTGCTGCTGCTTCCGTGTCCGTGGTGCGGAATACGCAATAGCCGTTTCCGCGGCAAACTTCCACGTCCTGGTGCGGTTTCGCGATACCCGGGGGGTTGGATTTTCCAGCACACACTTGCGCCAGCACAAATGTGTTGGTTATTATCGTGAAAACATAATTTCCGCAGAGCTTTTTGTTTATTTTCTATGCTTAACGAAGGGTGTGACCGTGCGCGCTGAAGGAGAAAACACAGAGTGTCAGTGTGACCGCAAGCCGTCCACCTAAAACGGTATGGCAACGCCTTTTAAACAATATTTGGGTTTCGTTAAGTTTCATTTTATTCGTTAAATTTTGTATTTTAAAATATCAGAGCTCGCTTATAAAAACCGTTTTTAAATATCTACTTAGGCCACTCTTTCTGGCAGCTGGGAAATCCACTTGGAGCCCAGCTTGTGATTCGCCAGTCGCCACAGCAGCAGCCAGACGACCGGGAACACCTGCACCATGGCGAACTTGGCGAATCTGGAAAGGATATTCCGCCAAGGACCATCGTTGCGAACTTGGTGCAGCAGTACCAGCGACATGGCGCTGTTCAGCAGGAGAAGACGCAAAAAGATTTTCCTCTCGTGCGACCACACATCCTTGTAGGTGCCCGCCAGGATGCAGAGCATCAGCAGCCAGGGCACCAAGAGCTTCAGCGTCATAATCAGGAAATAGGACAGAGTGAAGTGCCCAAAAGTGGTTTCATGCAGGATATCAAAGTAGTTGCCAAGGGCTGGAACACTTCCAATGACGAACAGCGAGTACCAGCTGTAGACCAGTATATAATGGGATGCAGTCTTCGGTCCGATTGTCTCGTTTCTCTCCAGCTTCATCCTCAGTCCCAGCTGCAGCTCCATGGCCAGCATTTGGATAACCACCGATTCGTAGGAGGTGCAGGTAAGAGTGTACAGGGTGCTCAGGTTGAAGAACATCAGTTCGCTGGGCTGAAGTCTACGCCGCTGCCCGTAGGCCACGTAGCCCAGGTAAACCCAGGAGGCCGCATAGGTTACCCATGGAAGCCAGCCCACCAAGATGTACTCGGCGTAAGCCAAGAGTATGGCAATATTAACCAGCCAGGTCACGGGACTCAAGAACACCCCAAAGGCCAAGGGCCGCATAAGGGTCAGACAGATGCTGACGAGCTGAGCTCCAGGCTGCAAACGCCCCAGTGTCTCCGGGAGAAAAGATAAAAAGAAGAGCCCCAAGACCAAGAGTAGCCACAGGTATAACTGCATTCCTCGGACCCGAAAGGCATCTCTGTTGGAGTAGCAGGTAAATACCAAGTAGCCCAATGCCATGATGTAGCGCCTGTTGAAGCCACCCAGGCAAGTCATGGCCAGTATTGCGGACAGGATCCCGCACCGTAGGCTTACCAATTCGGTCTTCAGGGTGATTATCTTCAAGGTAATCGTCCAATAGAGGGAAGGGAGCAGCAGGATTGCCTGCACCACAAAGGGAATCTTTTCCAGCATCATAAAGATCACTAACAGACCGGTCAGTAGTCGGGATACGCCCCTGGCCCACACTAGTCCTCTTATAGGCGCCACCTCCTGGCCCTGGACGTGAGAAAGGTGATGTGTGCACCATAGCCAACCGATTCCAGCCACGGTTACTGCCCAGACCATTATTCCACGAAAGTAGTCCTTGTAGAAGTCAATTTCCTTGATCAGCAAAGGCATATAGTTGCAGCTGTACTCCCGCAGAGCCTTAAAGCGTTCCTGGCCCATGAGGCGCCTGCAGTTTCTCACAAAGGAGTCCATTAGCTGAAAGTCTAGCCAAAACGAGGAAGTCGTCGAAGGATGGAGCCCTCTTAAATGGCGAGCCTGTGCCAACAGCTGCTGGGCATTGGTCAGCATGGCTTTGGCCTCGTACGCCAAGCTCACGTTCAACAGGCCACGAGGAAGCATGCCGCTACTGTATATTGGCGGCGGGAGTCCCAGCAGAGCGCTCATAAGCGGCGTGAGCTGAAGAGGATTCAGGACATGCAGGGGTAACTTGTGCCCAGTGGCATTGACCATAATTGAGCGGTCGCCCAAGGTTGTGGTGTGAGCCACTCCGGCGCCCCACAACATAAACGGCGACTCAACTGCCAGGTTGCATCGACCTGGAATGATATGGTGAGAAAATAGATATGGCAGAGTTAATAGAAGCCCTTACATAGAAGCTTGGGCTTGCCAAGATTGGAGGTGAGTAGGTAGGCAGTTCGCTTATCAGGAAACTTTTCTTCGAATCGCTTGTACATGTCCATAATATTGGCTTCGATTTTTGGCAGGCTTTTTTGAGATGGCTCCACACCCGTCAGGTGCACAAAGAAGATAATACCCTTGGTCTTTTGCAAGAGATGGGAATCAACAGAGAGGAAATTGAGCACACTTTCAGCCACTAAATCCTCCGGTTGGATTTCCATTATACGATGCAAGTTCATAGCAGGAAAGTAAGAGCCCAATTCGGCAGTTGTCCAGGCAAAGTTGTGATGGCTTCGCTTGAACACAGAGTCAGTTGCCTTTGACTGCCACAGCCAGTTGCGTATCACCGTGGCTGCCTCCTCATTGACCCCGGAAAACAGAGCCACATATGGCGAAAGTGGCCGGTAGGAAGGGGCCTCTGGACAACTAACTCCCACCAGACCTTCGTGCAGGAAGATATTACGTAGCAGCGGGATGTTGTTACAGCGATTGGCAAAGAAAGTCTGGGCAGACAAGTCGTCCCTTACGAAGACCACCAGGCGATCTGCCGGCGGTATGTCCTCTGAACTATTTTGCGGTTCCAGGCCATCCAGGGAAGTTGATCGAAGGTAAATTAATAGAACAGCGAGCAGCGGCAGGAGCTGCAGGAGCACGAGACTGCGATAAGATTCCAGCATTGTATTCAATAAGTGTTTCCGCCTCAAAATGGAGCTTGATTTTAAGCTGTGGCTGGAGAGCAATTGCTGACATATACTTCTGAGGTTTCTTGATTTCCCTTGTTTTTTATATCCATTTAGTCCGAACTGTTTTGCCAAAACACTCAGAAATGAAGTGGGCACTCTTTCGAATATTTTTCTGGTGCCTTTTCTCACTTCTCGCAAATGCTGTGTTCCAGATATATCGTCGGATTTTGTTAAGTCTTTTGGGTAAACTAACAATCCATTTAAAGATGTGGAAGACCAAGGCCTTGCTGGTGCACCTGCTGCTGCTCGTAAGCGTGCTGAAGATCTACTTTCAGTCCGCGCCGCTGATCCACCTGGAGCCGCAGGCCACGTTGCCGCAAATGGGTGTTAAGCCGCCAGCCGATCGCTTGGTGATCTTTCTCGCCGAAGGGCTTCGCGCCAAGACGTTCTTCTCACAGAACTACAGCTGGGTGCCCCATGGTCGGCAGGGCATAGCCCATTCCAGTGTGCCCACGCTTACCCAAGCGGGTAAGGTGGCCCTGTTTGCCGGTTTCCATCCGGCAATATTGTTTACCGAAAACTATGACACGATCTTCAATCGCACCTTGGAGTCCGCTGGTGGGTTTGTACTAAAGTTTGTGGGCGACAATCCCAAAACGAATTCTGGTCTTAAGGATCTGCAAGTCTACCTGTCGGATGATGGCAATCAGAGCACGATAAGAAACGCCAGCAAGGTGCTGATCTTGGTTTGCATGGGCGATATAGGCGGGGCCAGTCCAAGGGACAGAAGATATCTCAAAAAGTTATTCAAAGCACAGACCAGCATCTTTAAGGCCTATGCAGCTGTGGAAAATTTATTCAAGGACAATAGAACTGCTTACCTTATGACCTCGGCTCATGGACTCAGTAATCTGGGTAAGGATAAGGATAAATTGGGGATATATTTGTTACCATATCGATTGTAGGTTCCCATGGCGCTGGAACTCCTTACGAAACGGAGACGCCCTTCATGCTTTGGGGTGCCGGCTTCAATGCTAATCAGTCTATGCAGAGGCTGGAGCAAATCCAGCTGGCTTCGCTAATGTCAGCTTTGATTGGCTTACCACCTCCGGTCAACAACTTGGGGCAGTTGCCTTTGGGCTACCTGAACGTATACCAGGAGGAGGAGCGGAAGGTAATGCACCTAAATGCCCGGCAACTTCTGCTTCAAGCCAAGTTCCTTGTGAGACGCCACAAAAGGGGCTGTTGCCACAAGTGGCTTCCCAAGGGTGGAGACTTGGACCTCTTGCGAATTTCCCACTATCAATACCAGATAAACCGCCTCACGGAAGTGCACTGGCAAGCCAAGGCCATGGAGACAAGCCTTATGGCAGCCCGCTTGGCCCTGAACACCGTGAAGTACTACGTGGGATACTATGACATTCCGCTGGTGGTAGCCACGGCACTGGCTCTTCTCGGCTGGATGCTCTACTTGATGCTGAAGCTTTCCCAAGATTCGCAGGCCTTCAAGGAGCATCACAGAGGCTTTCTGAACTGGAGCACAATTTGGCTGGCCGCGTTGGGACTGCTGCTGGGCGAGCTGGCCTTCTTTCAGGGCTTGACGATTTTGACCATCTTCTGTTTGATCGTGCCCTTTGCCATTTGGTGTCTGGCCCTGGCCGAGTTGCCACTGAAAGGTAATTACATCTTCAATGTCCGGACCCACTTAAGCTGGATCGTTATACCTGCTGGACTCATAGTTGTGACGCTCTGCTGCAATTACTACCTTAGCCTGACTTATGCCCTGGCTGTTGGCTTCTACAACCGTCTGGGCTGCGTGCGTCCTTCCTTCCAGGTCCTGAGCTGGCTGATTCTTGTTTTCCTGCTGAGCATGTTCTTGTGCTTTCTGCCCCAAATTGAGTTCTTGATGGTCAGCAATTATCGGATGGCTATCCAGGCTACCAGCATGGTATTGGTTATCCTGCGTCCCTATATTTCCGGCGAAAAGCACGAGAAGCGCGTGTGGATTGTCAACGGAGGAATGCTGATTCTGGGAGGAGTGGGAATCTATTTAAGGGAAACTGACAAAACAGTTCCCATCTATATGATGGTGGCCAACTGGTCGTACTTTTTCTATGCATTCGCATCGATACCCTACAGTAGGAGTGCCTGTCTTCGCTCTCGTCTGGAGTTGATATGCTTTAACCTGCTGACCGTTCATGCCCTCCTGAGCGATTCGTACACCTCCCTCTTTGCCCAGTTGTTGATCTTGGAGTATCAACAGGGTATCGAGGTGCATTTGGTGACCAGACTGGAGCTGAAAGAAGAGGAAGAATCGATGCTAACATCCAAGGAGTACCTGCAGCTGTGCTATCGATTTGCCGTGTCCATTATCCTTTATTTCTACGTCTCTATGATGGGAACTGGTCATTGGTTACAAAGCTTCACCTATTTTGCCAACACGGATCGACTATTTATGCCGCATTGCTGCCCTGCTATGCTTGGATTCTTGGTATTTATCCATATGCTCATCCCCCTCATCATAATCCTGGCCAGCTTACGTGCACTGAGCACATTTGGACGTCATGAGATTAGCTCCATCTTTAGCTGCGTGATGCTTATTTGCAGTGCCGTGGTTCTGTTCTTTGTGGTTTTTGTTCCCCATTTGAGAGATTGGCCAAATGTACACCCATCCGTAATCAAAGTGATCATGGTGCAACTCACAGCCGTTTTGCTGATGGCCTGCGACTGCTGTGGCATATTTTTATTCCGGGGATTCAACCTGATCACATCTCCAACTCCCAAGCGAGCTGTGGTTGAAATCTGCCCCAAGACTATATCCTCAAGGACCTCGTTGAACTCCACCGAGGTATGAGTAGGGGATAAGTTGTTGAAATATAATAAAATTTTTAGTAAACATATGTAAGTTCTTAAGTTTTCAAACTTTTGCACTGTACTTTTGCAATATTTATCTACAGAATTTAATAAATAATTTGGCAGATCCGAATTTTTCATTAATATAAGTTAATATATAAATGATCTTAGCCGTTTTTATCCTTTGAGTTCTCGATTATATTAAATTTGGAAAACTAGAGCCAACCTTTCTCTCTTCTCCATAACCTTACCTCAACCCTTTGTTTTATATTGCCTTTTTATATAATTGAAAAATTAAAATTAGTCTTAATATTTGAGACTCTTTATGTATTTAACCATTCGATGGGCTGCTTCAGTAAATCTATGTGTAGGGTATGTAAGGTTCGAAGGCATATAATACTTTAAGTAGCAAATTAACTTAAATGCAGCTGGCTGGATTAGGTACAAATTTGCAGGAGTTGAGACCTTAATATACTAAGTATAAACCAGAGCCATCGGATCTACTCCGATTTCGGTTTCCCCGCCTCCAGATGGGCCTGCAAGAAAATATATTAATAAATGAAAAGTATTCATGAATTTCCAAAAGCTCACCTTCTCGGCTACCTTGAGGAGGCTGTCAAAGCTTTTCTGACCCGTTTCCATCACCATGCCATGGAAGATCTTAGACTCGGTGGCCGTTAAGAGTTCGTAAGGTGAACCAAACTCCACCAGATGACCGGCATCCATCACAAGCACGCGATCCGAGTCCATGATCGTGTTGAGTCGATGGGCTATGGTCAGCACCGTGCAGTCGCGGAATTTACTCCGGATTGTGGCCTGTATCAAGGCATCCGTCTGTGGGTCTACATTGGCCGTAGCTTCATCCATCACAAGGACCCGATTCTCCCGAAGAATCGCTCTCGCCAGGCACACCAACTGGCGCTGGCCCACGCTGAAATTGGCGCCCCCTTCGCTAATCTTGCTCTGCAGTCCACTGGGCAGTTCAGCAATCAGAGGCTTCAATTTGACTTCTTCGAGGGCCTCCCACAGCTTGGCATCGTTGTACTCCTCGAAGGGATCCAGGTTGTAACGCATGCTGCCGGAGAAAAGCACTGGCTCCTGGGGTATAATGGATATCTTGCTGCGGAGATCGAAGAGTCCCATCTCAGACGTGTCCCTCTCGTCGATGGTGATGATGCCTTCGTTGTAGGACAGTCGGAAGAGGGCGTTGATCAGCGATGACTTGCCCGCTCCAGTGCGTCCAACGATGCCCACCTTTTCGCAAGGTCGGATACGGAAATTCAGTGCTTTGAGCACATACTTAGCCTGGGGATCCGGGAAGTAGCGCAGACACAGATCCTCTGTGATGATCTCGCCCCTTTCGGGCCAATTCGGTGGGGGTTTCTTACCCTCTCGGGACTCAAACTCACCCTCTGGTTCGATTTCGTCGTACTCCACCACTCGTTCCACTGCGGTCATTGTGTTTTCCAGCTCCGCCGACTGGCGCATGCCCCACTGCACCATTCCCGTCATGCCCATTGCTTGGGTAATGGCCAAGCCCACCTCGCCGGGACTTTTCGGTGGGTTAATAAAGTAATTGAGGATGATGATAACAATATACAGCGTGCAGAAGCAGTCCAGATAATAGCCAAAGGCTCGATTCGTGGCCAGGAATGTGTAATAGCCGGAGCTATGCAGATCCTGAAGATTGTCAAACTCAGCTATCAGTTCCTTCTGAGCTCCCAAAGCACGAATTGTCGGCAAGCCACTGATGGTGGCTCCCAGATGCGAGTAAATCGGCGACCTGGCCACCGCCTCCAATCGTTTAACATCCCTCGAAGTCTTCAGGTAGAACTCTCTTATGTAATAGAAAATAATTGCCAGGGCAAGCGTCAGGATCAGATAGTAGGGATTGGTGATGCAGATCACAATGATGATGCCGAGCAGAGTGAGGAAGATCTGTACCACATCCAGCATAACAGAGGGCAGGACTTCGTCCACTTGTCCCAGATCCTTGGAGAAGCGGTTCAGAATGCGACCCGAGGGATTCGTGTTGAAGAAGTACATGGCAGCTCTGGTTATGCCGCGATACATGGCATTGTGCAAATGCGTGGAGCTGTGCATGGCCATTTTGTAGAAGAGCATTGTCCGAACGATGGTGAAGACCACCACGGCCACATTGAGGGCGGCAAAGTAGTACATATCCTCCGGATCTGAGCTTATGTCAGTGCCATCGGTGTTTTTGTCCACCCAATAAGACAAAAAGTAATCCGCAAATGAGCACAGGATCTGCGTGGCCAGGCAGAGAAACACCATGAAGGAGAGCATAAACCAGCTGCTGCCCGCTGTCAAATACTCCTTGTACAGTCCCAGACCGATCTTGCCCTCCACTCGTGTCTCCTGCAGCTGCAATGCCGCCTCCTGGGCCATTGATTCCGCCATGGAGCTCAACGAGGTGAAGCTGTTGTTCCGCGTGCTCGGCTTGCTGATCTTGCTGTCTCTTCTGCTCAGTGAGGGCACACCCAAGCGATCCACACCGTCGCCTATGGCAAACTCTGTCTCCTCCAGTGCCTCATCCTCTTTATTGGGTGCCGTGAGAAGTTGAGCAAAGTCCAAGCCACTGCGCTTCATGGATGAGTACGTGCCCATGGCGCTAACGCGACCCTTATCCATTATCACAATTAGGTCAGCCTGCTCCAGAAACTGCAGCTGGTGCGTGACCAGAATCACAAGATCGCTTCGCAAGTAACCGCGCATGCACTGGTCGAAGAGATGGCGTCCCACATGGGTATCCACGGCGCTAAGGGGATCATCCAGCAGGTAAATGTCCGCTCGTCGATACACCGCCCGCGCCAAACTAATCCTGGCCTTTTGGCCACCCGAAAGCGAAGCTCCACGCTCGCCCACGATTGTCTTGTCGCCATATGGCAATAGCTCAAAGTCTCTCTCCAGGGCGCACTTCTTGACCACGGTGCGATAGCGATGCTTGTCCCACTCCAAGCCGAATAGAATGTTTTGACGCACGGAGCCAGTGAAGAGCCAAGGCTCCTGGGCGGCATAAGAATAACTTCCACTGACCCTTAAGCTTCCGCTCTCCGCCGGCAACTCGCCAAGCACTGCCTGAATTAAGCTGGACTTGCCAGCTCCCACGGGTCCAATGACGGCCACCAGTTTGCGACGTCCCAGCTGCAGATTTATGTCCTCCAGCGTGGGCTCCACCGAATGGCTCTCCCAGCGGGCCTGGAACTGATTGAACTCGATCAGATTCTCCGACAGACCATTGCTCTTGGGACTGTCTCCATTTAGTGAATCCCCTTTTGGTGCGGGAGCGGGACTTTTTGACTTATCCCTGACCTGAGTCTCTGGTCGGTGCATGAACGTCTCCAGGCGACGCACAGAGACCAGGAGCTCAGCAAACTGGGAGATGCCTTGCGGGAAGAACATAGTCACAGAGCGTCGCAGGATATTGTAGTAGGCGGTGACAAAGAAGGCCTTCTCGGCATTAAGGATGTTCCCCAGCAGGACAAAGGCAATAAGACTGGAGGAGACGAAGACACGGGACAGGAACATGGCGAAGGAGATGAGAATGCCGCGTATGTAGTTGACTTGCTTGATGCACAGCATCTCATTGAAGCGTGTTAGCTCCACTACTTTGCCAAAGGGCTTCTCCCAGGCATACATCTTGATCACCTGAATGCCTGAGATAATCTCGTTCATCATCCGGACGCGTTCATCGGTGCGCAAGGCAGTCCGCAGTCGGAGCACACTGGTCCGTTTGCCCAGGTAGGATTGGAAGGGTAGAAAGAGCAGCATTATAGCTATGCCAAACAGAGAAGATATTCCAATCTGAAAGAAAGAACTTTGTTATATTTCACATAACTATTATTTAAATAAAAATCACATTATATTATTATAAACATTATTTCCTCTCCATATTAAATTTAACTTCCATTTACTGATTTTGTAATTGATCAGCCGTTTGTGTATGTACAAAAAGTAATTAATAATAATTAGTCAACATTTATATTCAAAGCCAAACTATTCACTGATAGCTAAATGTTTGAATAAGTAAACCCTAAATGGTCTGGGGTATGGCTATATCCAGGGGAAAGCATTAATATTTGTTGTTTGATTTTGCTCTACAACAGCTTGCCGGGAGAAGGTTATGCATTATGCCAAGACAAACCTTAAAAAGTCCCCTACTCATTTTTGTTTAATATTCATGATTCAGGGTCACGTTCAAACAACTCAAAAGGGCGAATCGAACTGTTTCAGAACCGGTTTTATTAGAAACATTCTCTCTCTCTCCGGTATCCTAACCACCCACTTACCTCTCGGTACATCAGGTAGGTGACTAGAATCAGCTCCATCGGAGCTATCCACAGGTAGTGTACGTTGATTAGAACCGAATCGAAGCGTCCCACATCGTTGGACAGGAGATTGACCACCTGACCCACGGTGGTGTCGCCTAAAGCTGTTCTACTTAGCCGTAGAGCCTTTCTATAAATGAGGCTGCTGAGAGCTGCAAACACAAGGAGATTAGTTGAGGTCAAATTAAAACTAGGTATAGAAATCACTTACCAACACGCATTTTCATGCCCAGATGGAGTAGCCCCAACATATAGGGATGTCCAATTAAAACACTGAACACAGAGCCCGCTATCAGGCCAGCGGCATAGAGCTGGGCCTTGGTGAGGTCCGGATCATTTCCGGAAAAGTAGGCCATTACCCCGAATAAGCAAATGGGCTGTGTGACCCTGGATGGGAATAATAAATGGAGCTAGTGGGTTTTTCTTGTAATTGTTCCTTCTCCGAAACTACTCACTTAGTTAGGAATTCCTGGAGGAACAGGGAAAAACCAGTTACTAACAACTTCCAGCCAAAAACCTTCATCAGGGCTCGACCCAGACTTGGTGTCCCATTTTTGGCCACTTGCTCATCCCAAGCGGTACACAAACGATCTCCCAGAGAGTCTACATATTGGAGGAAACTTACATTAATACTTATAGTCTTCTTTGAAAACTTAATAGATAGATAAACTCACCTGACTTGTGCTCTTTGAGTGCCCTATAAAGGTCTTTCTGCTCCAGGGTCTTCTTCCGCCCCTTGAAAAGCACGGGCATGGCAAAACTTCAGGTGGGAACAGCATCACGTAGGCAAGGTAAAACCACATTTTATTGAGAGTACAACGAAAATATAATTAACGGAAGGCTTTCTCTTATCAGGGACTGATACTGATAATTCTTATGTGATGACACCCAAAAAAAAAATAATACTAAGAGAAGACAAGTGACATTCCCGGTGGCTTATCAGAACAAAAAACGAGAGAAAAACAGTTGCTAGCCAATGCAGCAATATAATTCTAGTATGTCACGGTCAAAATGAAGTTTTTGTATCTCCAAATCCAGTAACAATGGAAATGAGCAATTACATGCTACGGAAAAAAATAATAATGATACATTACTGTGTGATATATTTATCTAGCAACAATGCACTCAAGTTTTCTGATAAGTCAACATTTATAAAGGCAACGTCACTATGAAATTTATTATATATATTTTTTATCAAAGACCGACCGCAGACAGTAATGACCAGAAATAATTACCTAACTAACTAAACATAATGAAATGTTTGAATTTAAATCTAATCAGCAAGTTAAAGTGTCTCTAAATCAAATTTCTGCATGGCTGATAAAGCTTTGATGTTTGAAGGCTTGACTGAACTGAGTATATCCACACCCTGTGATTCATTCCATTTGCCAGCACTTTTCCTATCCAGTTATCACGTTCGGATATCATAGTTATTGTGGCTTGTTTCTCTCTAGGAGAAGTTCCAAAGAATGGAGCAGCCCTGGCAAAGTGTCGCCTTCAATTGGTTGCCAATTGAATAAAGCTCCGGACTCTCCGGGCTCTGGGCTTCAGCCGAATGGGTAAAGATTTCCACGACTCGGTCATGCAAATTAAGCGAGCCATTGAATGAAATAATCAACTTGTCAGTGCTGTCGCGTTGCCAGCTCCGTCATGGCAACCCAAAATCCCCTTGCCCTGAATCTGAATCTAAAAGCGTTCTCCATACAACGAAAAATAGCACCTAGACTAGTCATCAATGGGGTTAATTCTCTTATCAAAGCGGCTCTAATCTGTGGGATCTTTTTATATATTCGTAAGAAGAACTATTTAAAGCTTGTTTACATTTCACAAGACGAAGGTTTTGAACACACAATTTGTGTATAATCTGTGTGATTATCTTATAAACATAAATGACTAAGCATCTTTGAAGAAGATCTTAATTTATGCTTCTATAAACTTAAAAAATTATAATAACTCACCAAAAAAAGAGCGAGGATAGGGGATTGGAGCGCTCGCGCGGATTCTCCGGCAGTTCATCGGCTTTCATTGACTGCATGGCTGGTGGATTGGCAGGTTGGATTACACTAATTGGAGTTGAATTGCACTATATGCACTCTGGCATTACAGGGGACTTGTTTTAGCTGGGTGGATTGATTGTCTTTGAATTAGCCAGCGGTTGATTAGCACTTTCCGATCCGAAAGGGGACACGCGCTCGACTCTAATATAATTAGTTTGGCATTAGCAGGGAGCGAGCGAGCGAGCGAGAAACTTCAGATATTTCAGATCTTGTATCTTGTATCTCGAACTTCGATTTCTAATCGCGTCCGAAGGGAGTAAACTTTTCCACTGCCGCACTGGTAATATCACTTGGCATTTGATTTTATTCCTACGCCTCGACTGGGCAGGCTGCTGCTCCCCAGAGATCACTTCAGTTCACTTCTATCTCTGTTACAGCCGAATTTCGTCATCGGTGGCGTTGCGCTGTATTTCTAATTCGCTTTTGTCCACATCGAACTTATCGGATCCATATGGGAATACGCATGGCTTAGTACGCTGCTCGATCCACGACGTCGTCCGGTCCGACACTCCGTTTGTTCTAATGCGCTCCGCTCTCGCACTTCCATTAAATATTTGCGCTACTACACTCAGAGAAATTAATACTGAAATATATTATTGTTAGTTAAAAATATATTAAATGTTATTAATATTAAAATTAATTTAAGGACCTATATATATGTATATATAACAAGGACCCAACTCGCGAGCCAAGAAATATCTCTGTCTGTGCTATCCCCTTCTTCTTTAATATTTAAACAATAAAATAAAATCTGTATATTTTTAAAGATACTTATTATTATAATAGAAATATTTGGCAATTTCCTGAAACTCATATTTTTTCTCAGTGTTCACTCTCCGCACTTGTTGTGTCAGGTTAAGATCGGAACGGTACTCTCTCGCTGGCCACCGGCTATCTGGGGCTCTCAGTAAGCTCTCCATCTCTCTGGAGCCCCAATGGGGGGATGGTTAACTGGCTCTGTGATCTATGGACTATGCTCTCTCTTCCAAACTTTGCTCTTCTGTTCTTCTCTCTCTTGTTTTAAATTCTTCCATTCTGTGCTCTCCCATTCTTCCCTCTCCTATCCTAAAGGTCTCTCTTGTACCTTATATCGAGTGATAAGAAGGCCTCCCAACGCCTGTTTTCCCCATTTCGTATGACTCTTGTAATCAGTAATAATGTGTAATTATGATACGCCTTTTATCTGGCAAACATTCTATTAGTTTGCAAATTTGTTGACGTACTCGTACGCGAATGATCCTCTAGATGTTAAAGGTGTCATATGTACATTTGAAAATTCTGAGAAAAAAAACTCAGATGTATTATAAAAGGTGAAAGATGAATTTAACGGTCTGGAAAAGTAATGCCAGTTGTCATCTTTACGAATGACAATATGCGATTTATACTGCATACTTTTGGGTTTGTTTAGGAAAGCCCAAAAGATAGCTGAAAAGGGATAAAAATAAAATAGGTTAAAGAAAAACCGTTATTTTAAGAGTTTATTTAAAAGTCTATAATTAAAAAAATAAATAAATAAAAATAAAATAAAAATAATATTAGTTTACTTTAGGCAAAAGTTATATTTAAACCTTCAGGGGTGGAAAATCATTAAAGAGATCAAATTAAAAAATAAATTAAAATACTACAATTTTTAGATTAATTATTTACATATTTTCATTCAAAATAGAACGGATGAACATATGTTTAAAATTTATAAAAAATAAGTCAAACCATTCAAACCCACTATTAATATGCAATCGGGATATTCGTCATTTGTACTTAAATATAACGATTGTTTATTTCCAATCCGAAAAATGGAAATAGGTTAAAGTTAAGAACTTTTATAATCGGCCATATAAATGTATGGGGTGGTTGACGAATGAGGAGGTCTACGAATTGCTAATTGAATTAATACGATAACTGAAGGCACCTAACGAAATCGGAAGGTCTGTTCTTACTCATTTAAGCACGAATACAGATAAACGTAAATATATACAGACATATAAGTACATAGTTGCCACCCAGCAGAGGATGGGCCGGCCGGCTTGTGGAGATCGTGGGTAATCTCAATATTGCATTGGATTGGGCTTGGGCTTGGGTGGAAGGAAGTGCTTGATTAGATTACAATTCAGCGGCGACTTTTCAAAAGATATTCACAATGATAATATGCAACGAATTGTGTCGAAAGTTATTTATACCTATGCACATGATCACTTAGCAGTTCCCGTGAGTTTTCAATTGGTGCCACTGACCCACAGAGGAGCTCCTTTAAAATGGGCAAATGTACATATGTACATGTGGGTAGATAGCTTTCATAACACCAATTTTTAGCTATTTTGAAGCATGAACACCTGGATCAATAGAAATGTCTAAGACTTCCGCGCAGAATTCAAATAGAAATAGAAATGCGAATTCGTCTTAGAGCCAATAAAACATCAATTTTAATCTCTATAAAACAGGTTTTTGCTTATAAAGACAAAAAAAAAAAAAAAAAAAATACGTTTTGGTTCCGGTTTTTAAATAACATTGATTGTTCTATAATTTTCACGTAAGTGTTTTCTCCATAATAATAATATGAGCTTTATTAATTTTCTAATGTGAATTGACCAAGTTAATCGATTTTGGAAAAGCCATAAAAAGTTTTATGGATGGGTAAAAAATTTTTACTAAAAATTTAAAGCTTATGCACATAGACGTTTATTGAATACTATCAGCATTTTTGGACTGGGAATCACTATTTCGCACAAGGGTAGATATGGAGTAAAAAGATATGGATATAGAAAAGATAGGTATATGTAACTAGACAATGTTGTATCTGAATTATTTAATTATTGTGTATTGTGTGTTAGTATAGCATATTAAGTATACGTCAAACTAATTGTGGGGGTTCAAAAGTATCTTAAAGAGTAAATATTTTGCAGCAAAAGGCTATTTTTAAAGTCTTAAAATATATGTTTAAAATCTCGAAAATTCGTCTGTTTTTAAAGCTTTATTCATATCAAGATATTTTTTAATACATTTATAAATTGCATGGCTGCTGCAAATGAACATAGTTCCCGTTATTAGGCCGGCACCTTTGAATCAATTAAGGCTGCAAGCGATAGCTTACGATGAGGTGAAAGAGGGGCTGGTCTGGGGGCTCTAACTGACGACACGTGAGAGGGAGAGGAGAAATGACTAACGGATCGCATACATGGAACCGTTCTTATTTTGGAGAGCGCCAAAAAACCAGCTTTACATAACAAAAAAAATAAAAAAAACTCTGTTGCGCCGATATACCACCAATGCAATATACTATGTATAAACTGTACGCGGTTTTGCATCAGGTAAGCCGATCCCAAGACAGATCATTTAATGTTTGCTCTTATCCGGCAAACAGGCATAAAAAAATACACAAGCAACGCAGCATTCGCCTCAGCAACTTTTCAGAGAGCAAGAGTGAGAAAAAGCTTTGTTCAATTTGTGGTAGTTGTTAACTAGAGCTGGCACTAAGTTTACGACACTATCGATTTTTTTAATAAAATAATATATTTATAAATATTTATTATATATAAAAACAAAACTATTTTTCCCATTGTAAAATATTTTTTATTTATAAAAATAAATATTTTTAGTTTAACACTATGTAGTTTCCTTATATATTTTGTTAATATTCATAAAAATAATTATAGAAATCGGAATATAAAATTCGATTTTAATTTCTAAGATGTACTTTTAGTTGTATTTTCTTCAAAATAATTTCTAAACAGAAAATAACAAGAAAATTGTTTTAAAATTAAACGGAAAACCATCGGTGTGCCTGAAAGCTTTGTTATTATCGATAGAGCTTTCCATCCCTATGCCGGCTTCTCAACAGTATAAAAGACCGGCACCGCAAAGTAAATTTTATTCGCTCCGAAAATTTTGAAAAGTGAATATCTTGTGCAGAACCACAGACTAGACCTACCGTTAAAATGGCATCGTTCGTTGGAAAGAAGTACAAGCTCGACAAATCCGAGAACTTCGATGAGTACATGAAGGAGCTGGGTAAGTTTACAGAAAGTGAAAAAAGTCCGCAATGCTGCATTCCATAAATCACAAGAGAGTCAGGGGGGGGACCGGAAACCCGAAAAACACGCCACCGAAATCAACCAGCCGGCTTTTTCTGCAGTGTGTGTGTGTGTTTGTGTGTTTTTGCAAACTCTCCATATGCCTGTGTGTTAGTGGAAGATGAAAATCAATAGAGGGAACATCCGCAGAGAAAGGGAGAGATGCAAGAACCAAAAAACGTGCTTAGCTTGCCGAAAAAAATTTACAGTTGCGAATCAGAGTGCAAAAAGTATAAGAGCACTAAAAGCTTATCTATCTCTTGGCGGCGCCATAAACCCAAAAACTAATTAAACGGGCTGTACTTTGGCCCCTTTCTTTGAGTCACTTCATCATAAAATCATCGTGACATTAGCCTTTCTCGACAGGTGTCGTATATATACCGTATGCCAGATTTTTCGGGGAAAGTTCCGACTGAACTTTGCCCCGGGCCATTAACTTGTCTGTCTACTAAAAAATAAGTTCTGATCTTTCGCCCCGATGTCTGTCTAGAGTCTAAACTCTAGTCTACACGTTATTATCTGGGTTTATTATAACTTGAACTTGGACTCTATCCCATAAACCTAAATATTTTACCTAACATTTAATTATTAATTTTTTTTTTTTTACAGTGCCCCAGTCTAGACTAATCCTATATCCGCCGGTGTGGGTGGGGGATGACATGTTGTGTATATTGGGAAACCGGAGATGTCGCGCCAGTTTGAGGTCCGGAATTATTTTCCAGACCTCAAGTAAGCCAGAACTTTTCTCGTCTTGCGGTTTTGGTTTCAACGCTAGACTTGGTTCTCCAGACAGGGCCACGTAGATCTCAGTTTTCAAATCCAAACAAAGCCCAAAAACAACCTGTTGTGGCTGGGAGCCTCGGCAATGGTTATCAGCTGTCATATATAAATGCGATAAACTATATGCCTATATATGTGTGGGGTGGATGGTCACGATAATTGGGCAACGATTACAGTCTGCACTTTGGGCAAGCTGGCCATGCCGGGCCCTATCGTTGACCGTAGCTCGAAATTGCAGCCGAGCCTAATCTATTCAAGGTTCTCGAATCATATATACATATACGATGCATATAAATCGATCTCTGGGTACAGTTGCTGGGTTCCCATGGGTAGGAAGTTATCGCGCGGCGACAGACGGTTGACACTTGACTCGGGGGGGGCTTGCAAAGAACCAAATACAGGCTACAAGCTTGTCGTCGCACATACATAATTGAGCATAATTGATTGGCCCTATTGGCTGGCTTGATAAATGTACAATCGCTCCAAATAAAACCGATAGAAAGCCTGAGGTCAAGAGAGGTCTTGCTTTCTTCGCTCATTCCTTCTCCCTCGATAATTGCCAGCTATTATTAGGTTTTTACTTTGTTTAATTGCTCTCGAGACGTGTTTTTTACTAGAACCTAATGAGGCATGGCCATACATTGTGAGTTTAAAAGAAATATAGAAATATAAAGAGTGCAATTAACAACTGCCAGCAAATAATTACGTGACTTATCATTTAATGGCTATATGACATGGCTTATCTTCGATTTTGCGGTATAGCTTCGGTTATTCCTCTTGAAACTATCGATTCGAAGTTGACAGGCCCCGGAAACTGCCAAATGCATATCATTTTGAAGAGATTATCTTTAATATTGAATAAACCCTCATGGTGAGCTTTTCTCAAGAACCCTGTCTGTTGCAAACGGGATGTTCGCATTTATAATTTTTTTTTTATTTTTATTAAATGCACTACTGAGGAGATAAGGTGCTGTACCCGCCCGATCTATATATAGAGGGGCTTGCCAATTGATAAGCCTCCGGAGGAGGAGAAGCCCGCATTGTTCGTTAACCTTGAGCACGACTTTTGACGTGCGGAGTCTGCACTGCTTCGGCTTCGTGACTCGGCTTTATTATTTTTAATTAAATAAAATATGATTTGCATTGTGGCCGATCTTGTTGGGTCTCCGAGTTTGTTGGGCTAATTCAATTATGTGCACTCTGCCCATAATTCATCTCTCGCATTCCAATTTTTCATTCATTCATCATTCCCTGCCCTTAGTTCCCGATTTCTGACCTTTTCATCAAATTTTATATTTTATTTCGCAGGCGTCGGTCTGGTGACGCGCAAGATGGGCAACAGCCTGAGCCCCACCGTGGAGGTGACTCTGGAGGGTGATACCTACACCATGACCACCACCTCGACCTTCAAGACCTCCTCCATCAGCTTCAAGCTGGGCGTGGAGTTCGATGAGGAGACCCTGGACGGTCGCAACGTGAAGAGCATCATCACCCTCGATGGCAACAAGCTCACGCAGGAGCAGAAGGGCGACAAGCCCACCACCATTGTCCGCGAGTTCAACGATGGCGAGCTGATCACCGTGAGTATCCTGCTGACTATTATCTTGTGATCAAAATCCTTACTTGTTCCCCTTTCTTACCGGCAGACCCTCACCATTGGCAGCGTGAAGTGCGTGCGCGTCTACAAGGCTGTCTAAGCGACAGGAGCTGTCCATGACTGATCTACAACTATAATCATTCGACTACATGCATCGCAACTAACTCAGATAGCTACTATTGTTATTGACTAACAAAAAACGGAACTGCACGCTCAGCCTAATGTTAATTTATGATTTAGCACCCGTACACCAGCAGTCGGTGTATGCGAGAAGAATACCCCCATCGGGGGGCTGATTTCCAAATGCATTTGAATAAACCAAAACACTGAAGTGCTTTTATATTTTCAATGTTTTCTTTACAAGCTTCTCTTTCAGCTAATAAATAAAGTTTAGATGTGCTTAGACACAAAACTCAAAATGTATTCCCAATTACAAATATCAAGAAATCCACAGTTTCGGTTAAATATTGTACACCAAACACTAAGGTCTTTTAAATATTGAACACCAAACACTTAGTTCTTTTAAATGTAAGTATGATTTTACGAATGGGATATAGCAGTTATAAGAATGATGATAGTGATGATTAGGAGCTTAATCCAAGCTTTAAGGAACAAGTTTGCCCCTCAGCAGTACTTATCCCCTTCTTTTGTTAGCATGGATCGTCCGGGCGTAGTCCTGGTTAGCCAGTATCGTCAGCGTCCCTGGATGACAGAGACTGGAGCTGCTATGGGGCTGTGCGGGGATAAGGGTCTTAAAAGCATTATGGCCGGCGCAGCTGCGGGTGTTATAGAGATCTGCATCACATATCCAACTGAGTTTGTGAAAACCCAGCTCCAGCTGGACGAGAAGGGAGCAAACAAATACACCGGTAGCCTCGACTGCGTAAAGAAAACAGTGCAGCAGAAAGGATTCTTTGGGCTCTACCGCGGTCTCAGTGTCCTACTCTACGGCAGCGTTCCCAAGACGGCGTCAAGGTAACAAGTGTTTGGTTTCTGATAACAACAAATTTTTAAATTTATTCTGAAGGTTTGCGGTCTTTGAGTGCCTAAAAGCGAATTCTGTGGACTCCAAGGGACAACTAAGCGGCACTGCCAAGCTACTATGTGGCTTGGGTGCTGGAGTTGCCGAGGGCATTGTAGCAGTCACCCCGATGGAGACCATCAAAACGAAATTCATCAATGACCAGCGCAGTCCCAATCCAAAGTTTAAGGGCTTTTTCAACGGAGTGGGACAGATCATCAAAACGGACGGCATCAAAGGCATCTACCAGGGCCTTACAGCCACCGTTCTAAAGCAGGGCTCCAACCAGGCCATCCGATTCTTTGGGCTGGAGACACTCAAGGATCTATACAAGGGCGATGATCCGAAAAAGCCGGTGCCCAAGTTGCTGGTGGGTGTGTTCGGTACCATTGCCGGGGCTGCTTCTGTGTTGGGAAACAACCCCCTGGATGTGATCAAGACGCGAATGCAGAGCCTTGAGGCCTCCAAGTACAAAAACACCGCCCACTGTGCGAAAATGATTCTCCAGAACGAAGGTCCCGCTGCCTTCTACAAGGGCACAATACCGCGGTTAAGCCGCATGTGGATTGAAGGTGGCTTAACGTTCATGGTCTTTGACACTTTCATGGAGCTGTTTGATAAGTTGTGGTAATAGTCTTTAAATTGCGTTTCTCAAGTGTCCCAAGTGTGTAGTTCTCATCTGATCGGCTCTTTTGTTTCAATAGTTTTTATGTTCCTTGACAATTACTTCCCGTAAACATATAAAGAACATGTATTTTATAAAAAAAATGTAATCTTGTGTTTTTTATTAATTAATACTATCTAAAAAAGATTTTTGCTATTTGGGAAACCGCCGAGGTTTAGAAATATATCCTAAAAGGAATTAAATCTAAATTTTCTATTTACAAAGTTTAGTTTTAAGGTATTTTGCAGTTTTAAAACCATTATTTTAGATCTCATTATGATGACCACAACTGTGTGCTTAAATGGGAACTTAAACTATTTAAGGCTTGACTCACTCGATGCTCCTCCCACGCGTTTCCCGTGCCACTAATTGAAAATGCCTTAGTGTTGGTGGTCCTACAAGTGTGGGTGGTAATTGTGGAACCTAAGGAATCAGTGGGGGACTGGCGCAGGCGCAGTTGTTATCACCGGAGAGTTGTTGGCACGGCCACACTTTACGCCGGGCCTTAGTTAACTTTCACCATTTGCCGGCAGCGTTAGAAGCGCGTATTTCCACATGGCTTTGGGTTGCGTCAGTTGGTAAATAATTAAGAGTTGACTGATTACGGATATATATCATTAAACAATGCACTGGCACTTTTATCGATTTGGTTATTGGGCCACTAAAGTGCGTGATAAGATGGATATATACTCCGCGGGGGCGTGTGGGTCTGAGCTGAGTGCCTTGCCTGTGTGCGTGAGTGTTTATTGTGTAATCGCAATAGAAAAAAGTTAGCATACTTTCCGGCGTGCGTTAAAAGTTTAAACAAAGTCAAAAATTTTTTTTTTGTTTTTGTTCTGCGGTATTGTAGCTTTTCCAGGCGAAAAGCTTTGTCCAGTTTGTTGTTGCCGGCCAAACGGGTTTCTGATTAGTGAGAGAGAAGGAGAGAGATCTCCACAGAGAATGCGGTATCCATTGCCGTTACTTTGGGGCTCGCTCACTCGCTGGCTCTTCCCCACTATCTATGCACAGAGAGAAAAATAAAAACATATTTAAAAAAATGGTTTAAATAAAAGTATTAAAGACAATAAATGAAGTAGGAGTAAGCTTTGTACATAAATTCGTAGGCAATCTCTTACATTTTTGGAATAGAAGTCATATACATTCTTTTATATGTGTACAAAATTTAAATATATACACAGAAAATATCTAATATAAAGATAATTTTTTCATGTGTGGTTTATTGAGCATGGGGAGAGCTGGTCGCGCTCCCTGAAAAGCTGTTGTTTACAATCCGGCGACCGTTGGAACAATTTGCTTTCTCGTCGATTGGAAATTGGAATTTTTTGTAGAGCCGATCAGTTGGGATTCAGCCGCTGGCCACGATCGCAGTTCTCTTCGTCACCTTTTCTCTGCTGCTGCTGGGCATTCCAAAAAGAATTTGTATTACTGTCGGTTTTGGAAGCGTTCCACTGTGAGTAACAAGAGCGTAAAAAAATTTAAATAACTAGGCATTTTCCATGAATAAAAATTAATTGCAACGTCTGCAGAAATGTGTGTGGGTGTGTGTGCATGTGCGTGTGGGAGAGAGGGTTAATTACTCGCTTGTGTGCGAGAGTGTCTGTGGAAGTCGTTAGACGGTTTTATCAGTGCGCTTTGTTTATGTTTATCCAGATTTCCAGCCCGATACGGAAAGCGTACGGGCAAACAGTGAATAATTATGGTCTAAACATTTTTCGATTATTATTTATGGTCATGCAAAAGTTACATAACAGCACTGAAACAATACAACAAAAAAATGTCAAGTGCAAAGAGCGAACCCAACGCCAGCCCCAGCTGATATAGTACCCGCTCCCAATCGAACCGCCCAGACACAGACACTATATCAGCCGATCTTAAGTAATCACTGGGGAGATTTTCTAATGTTCCAACATATTTGTGTGTTTTCTTCCTTGTGTATTAGTGTTAGTTTTTTTTGGCGATTCTTCTGGTTTCTGGTTTGTTTTGAACCTTGTCCTCAAGGTGAAATTTCGGGGGCGATAAATGAATATGCGTGGCGGGAACACAAGTGAGAGCTACTATTGATTACCCTAATCGAGTGGAAATTACTATTGATACAGCGCGACTTCTCCTAAATCTCTTTGAGTTTGAATTAGCAAAGAATTAGACCATCTGACTGATAGTTTTATGCTTTTTTTTTTCATAGAAAATTGCATAAGTAACCAAGAATTGCACACATTCAGAGCAACAATTAAGGTCTTGTTGGAGAATTGAAGCTCTATTGAAGCTTTGTATGTTCAAGATAAAAATTCATTAATAGCAACTATTGGTTATCAATTTAGTTTGCGAATTTCTATACGACATATATTTTATGAAATGGATATTAATTTTTAACGTTCTTGCTATGAATTATAAAATAATTAATTGTCATTATACCCTTGCAGGATATTATAATTTGAATAAGAAGCTTGCAAGGCAGATTAGTTATATCTATACCTATAAATGGTATTGAACAGCATCAATAGCCAAGTCGATCTAGTATAGTATAGTAAAGATTTATAATAAAATTGCCAAGCGAAAAGGTTTATAACCTTTTGTTTTAACGTGAAATAATAATTTCCCATTTAAAACTTCAAAACTTTTTCCGACATCTATTTTTTTCCACTGCAAAACTATTGACTGCACCCCCACAAAAACAAATCTATTTCCGATGATCCCAACAATAGTCTATAAATAAGTCGCAAGTGGACAGAAATCAGCTGGAGTCCATATAGAAAACAGAAAACCAAATACTGATCGATTCTACTCGCTCTCTTCATTGTCTCCCAGGTAAACTCCCACCTTTCTTCCGTGTTGTCAGCATGGAGCGCTCAAGCATTGCCGCCCTAGTAAGCCCATACCGTCGTCGTCCTTGGATGACCGAGAACGGAGCTGCGGCACCGGCTGGCGGACAAAACGGTCTCAAGGGCATTGTGGCCGGCGGTATAACCGGAGGCATCGAGATCTGCATAACATATCCTACCGAGTACGTCAAAACACATCTACAGCTGGACGAGAAGGGAGCGAATAAGAAGTACAATGGCATCTTTGACTGCGTGAAGAAGACGGTCCAGCAGCGCGGATTCTTTGGACTCTACCGCGGTCTCAGTGTGCTCCTCTACGGCAGCATACCCAAGTCGGCGGCGAGGTGAGTGTTTTATCTTACAAATAAGAGAAGATATTTAAGGAAACATTTATTTTGCAGGTTTGGTGCCTTTGAGTTCCTGAAAACGCACTCTGTGGACTCCAGGGGACAACTTAGCAACTCTGGAAAACTGCTCTGCGGTTTGGGTGCCGGTGTTTGCGAGGCCATTGTGGCAGTCACCCCAATGGAGACCATCAAGGTGAAATTCATCAACGATCAGCGTAGCGCGAATCCCAAATTCAAGGGATTTGCCCACGGAGTGGGACAGATTATCAAGTCGGAGGGCATCACTGGCATCTACAAAGGCCTGACACCCACCATTCTCAAGCAGGGCTCCAACCAGGCCATCCGCTTCTTCGTGCTGGAGTCACTGAAGGATCTGTACAAGGGTGACGATCCGAACAAGCCGGTGCCCAAGCTGGTGGTGGGTGTTTTCGGTGCCATTGCCGGAGCTGCCTCTGTGTTTGGCAACACGCCTCTGGATGTGGTCAAGACCAGGATGCAGGGACTTGAGGCCTCCAAATACAAGAACACAGCCCACTGTGCGGTGATGATCCTTAAGAACGAAGGTCCGGCCGCCTTCTACAAGGGCACAGTGCCACGTCTGGGACGCGTGTGTCTGGATGTGGCCATTACATTCATGATCTACGACTCGTTCATGGACCTCTTCAGCAAGGTGTGGCACTAACCCTGCGATTCTGCATGATCCCTAAGTGTGCATTTCTATCTGATCCCATTGACCTAGTCGGCTGTTGCAATAGTTTCTAGTAATCGAACATATTCCAAGAAAGCATTTTTAAAACCCCAATACCCAATGTGCGAATGTGGCTATGGAAAATCTATATTATACAGCTTGTTTTAAATAATGAATAAAATCTGAGACGACTGTTTGGAATCCAAAGTGTTGAGTGATTGGGGTAAAAAGAGGGTTTTTAAAGTGAATTTGAACGAAATCTGGAAAAAAGTAACTTATATTTTAGTTAAACTAAATGTATTTCAGCTTCTGATACATTTTATTGAAACGGATATATTAAATTCTATTACCTTTTCAGTAGGTAATGTAATAAATTTATAAAGACAACATCTAAATTGGTACTGATTAAGCTAATTCTTGTTTAAAAGCCACAAGCTCAAGTCTTTTTCAAACAATTTAAAGATAAAGATAGATTAAACTATGTAATCTACTCTAAGTCTAGTAAACCTTAAATTTAATCTTGCACCAGAAAATTATAAGAGATTTGGTTAGTAGTTGAACTAAAAGTCTAGACATTATCTTTATAGTTAAGGCATAGATTAGGCTCAATTTGAATCCAAGAAAAACGAAAACAGAACTTCATAACAGTTGGGACATCTCACAGACATCACCTAGGGGTTTGTTTTTAATTGCCACTTGTAACTTATAGATTGCTTGCACCATAGTTTAGGACAGATTATACTAGCTTTAAGAGTAACTCCGTCAGCGTATCACGTTGAGCGGAATGGAGGCATTCTTGCTGCTGACAATGCGACCCAACTGCTCGTCAAGCGGCGCCCCCAGCTCCTGCCAAATGCACTTGCCAATCAGCGAGATCTCCTCAAGCGGCGGCCGGAATGCCACTAGGAGATTCAGGCATATTCCATCCGTGTTCTCTGCCTCCGAAGGCGAGTGCTCCACACTCAGCAGGCCGTGCGGTCGGTGCTGGGGCAGCTCGGCGCCAAAAATCTCAATCATAAACTTGCGCAGCGTGGAGTGAAGGCTGCGATTCGGATGCATTTCCACGGTGGGAAAGTGATGGGCATTCTTTTCGCTGACCAGGATGTTGAGCGAGTTGTGGGCCCGCTTCCGGGCCACGGCCAGCACGCGCAGATAGTTCCGCTTGTGAAAATAGCGGGTGGGCAGTATGTTGCCGTGCCAGGGTGCCGTGGGGCTGCTGGGGATCTTCTGGCTTTGATGATAAGCCCGACCAATCTCGATGATATTGAGTATGTCGTTGGCACGCAAAGGCACATCCTTGGGACTGCGCACCCAGCGCGCCTGTATGGACTCGGCATCAGCATCCGCCGGCGTCTTAAGCCGCCCGCCAGTAATGCGTCCAGTGAGCACAAAGCGGAACCAAGAGCCCCCGGCTGCCTCCACGGCCAGCAGAGTGGTCAGCTCCGCATTCAGGCCGGTCTCCTCGAAAACCTCCCGGGCGGCTGCCTCTGTGATGGACTCGCCGCGCTCCATGCGCCCGGCGGGTAAGTACCACTTGCCTGGTCAACGGAGTGCAACATTAGGGTGAGCTCTAACTCTGGGCTCCAAGTCTCCCTCTCTCCCAGCTTACCTGCACAGCTCTGCTTGGCCTCCTCGATCATGAGCAGCTCGTCTTGCTCGTTAATCAGTACACAGGCCACAATGTAGGTGACCGTCTGGCCAAGAACGGGCACAAAATCCGAGGTGGAGGAGGGCTGCACGCCCTGGGCCTCGGCGGTGGCATTTTGTTCTTTCAGTGAGAAGTCACATAGCTCCGAGGTGATGTCACCCAAATCCTTGGCATCCAAGACGCGACGCACTTTCTCCACAATCGAAGCCATATCCTGGAAAGCGAAATCTGTGAAAATTTGGGCCAGAAACGTATGAAAATACTCACTTTTTAGCTGCTAGAGTAACTCAGGGCGATGAACATGCTCCACGCCCAGCTCCAGACACTGCATATATCTTGCGAAAATATGCAAATAGCGAATTCCTAAGCGTTCTAAGACGAACGAACGCCAGAGCGGGCCGAATGTGACTGTTGTGGCTTGTTCTGTGCTGGCTATAATGCCCAATAAAAACGGCCAAGACGACGATGATGATGGCAATCCACTTTTTGTTGTTGTCGCTCTACAGGTGCCCCAACCAGCGAGCGAGCGGTGGCCTCTATTTCTCTGTATTTCTCGCTATTTCTCTCTATTGCCGCCGTATTGATATCGAAATGGATGTCAAATAAGCCGCTCGACGGGTTTTCTTCGTCGCAGAGAAAGTGCATTGGAATGTGTCTCCGTGTGCGCGCGCGCCAGCTGTTCCTCGTTCCTGTTATTGTTGCTGCTGCCGCCGCTAAGCACCTCCGTTTAGCGGTCAGCAATTAGCAATTGCACACTTAATCAACGCACACGCGGCTATTTATGGTCTAATCGATCGGCAAGAACGGCTTAAAAAAAAGAAACTGGAAATTTGTTAGTAAATACTGGGGAGGGTTGCCAGCTGGGTAACGCAAAGCGGTGTGGCAGCCCTGCTGCTGCGTTGCCAACTTGCCAGTGTTGCCCACCCGCTGGCTGAGTTCTATGCCTGGTCACATTCTTACAATTCAAATTACCCAACCAAAAAGTTCGTTACAAATATTTCATTACTGCCAAGAGCTTGTTGTCTTGTTTGCCTAGCCTGCTGTCATTTTACCAGCGCGATAATGTACATGTTATATGCTAATTTCACAATGGCAACACGCATCATTCAATTTCCCAGCAAATTTAGCTGACAAACAGCAAACAGGCGTTGCGCCATAGATTAATATTAAAGAGCAATAGCAATATCCTATACAGCATATGCGTTTATCACTCTCTTACTCTGCCTGTGTGTGTGTGTGTGTGCAGGAAACCTCGCTGATTGCCGGCAATAAAATTTGAATGCGGAAATTTCATTGTTTACCCAAATCGATCATCATTAAAAGCATTGCTCTTGCTTACCATTCTCCCGTTGCCATTGCAAAAGTGCCAATTGCCCCGAATCCATGGCGTATACTTAACGTGGGGCGGAGCAGCTAGCCCGGTTGGGGGATGGTTGTGTTTGTGGTGCGGCGGCGATGGTGACGATGGTGGCTTTGGGTTACTGGTAATGGGCCTGCAAACTCAGATGCCCGGGTAGGTAATTCAATTTTGTGCAAATGCTTGATTTGCCATTTAGCAGCGAGACCTAATCCAGGACCTTTGCAGGTCTTGACTACACGGTAAGAAATTTACATGTAATTTTGGGTAAACTTATTAAAGGAGAGTGGGATAATTATCTAAGAATTTAGTATACAAGTCTTAAGCTTGTTTATTACATTATTCACTTAGATCTTTTATCAGGGCTTAAACAAGGACATTTTTGTGATGAAAAGATAGGTATACTCTAATTTAAAAGAATAAATAAAATTATTTTAAAAATGGGAACAGGAAGTATTATAATTTCTTCATTATCAAAGATATTACAGCCTAACAGCAGTCTTTTTACTGTCCTATAAATTATAATGGGATTTGAAAATGTAAGACATATTGATTAAAATATATGTTTTATTTCGTTAATTAACATACTTTTCATGTTTATTTGATTATATAAAATAAAACTTTAAGAAAAAGACTTGCTATCAAAAAAAATAAATTGCTATTTAAATATAATAAAGTTATATAAAAAGGAAGTTACAATTAATTATTTTCTTCCTGTGTTTATGTGATACTTCCTTTCTTTATTCACTTCCTTTTAGGCTTGTTTTTCCTCCCTCTGCCCGATTTCCCTTCACCTTGGCACAGCCTCACTGCTGCTTCTCAACCACATTTCACATAAGACTTTTGTCATTATATTGTTAATTTGTTTTAGTTGTTTTTTAATTTCCTTAGAGAGTCGCAACCTCGTAGAGGCGCACATGCGTGAGAGCACAGTGGCAGTAGTGTGTGTGCGAGTGCGAGTCTGAGTGGGTGTGCTGCTTATGGGGGGGTGGGTGTGTGTGCTAATGTACTGTGAGTGGATCTCTGGTAATAACGGCTAAAGTAAAATGCTGATAAAGTGGCGAATGTTTTGGAATGTGCGAGTGTTTGCGGGCGCGTGGATTCTGCTGCGTGGCTGCGATGACAGGCAAAAGCGAACACAAAACGTTCATTTCCCACATGCACCATTATTCGTTGAAACCCGTAAATTTTACCAAAAACGAACAGCAGCAGCAGCAGCAGCAGCAGCAGCAGCTGAAGCAGCGGCAGCGGCAGAAACACAAGCAGCAGCAGCAGCAGCACCAATGGCAACAACAACAGCAATCCAAGAAGCTGCTTAACACGAGAATAATGTTTAAAATGTTTATTATGTGTGCAAGTGACGCGAGCTTCGTTCCCCCGGCTTACTCCCTCCCTCACAGATGACAGGCCCAAGCGACAGGGCAATACGCACACATAACTCGGCACTGGGAGAAAAATTTTAAATAAAAAGGAAATGTAAATTCAAGATTAAGGTAAAAAAATAAATTTTGTTGATAAAATTCCAAACAATTAATGTTTTGCTTGATGTTATGAATGTTTTTTGCTGAAAGTTTAAATGTTTTAATGTTTCTTTGCAAAAATAGTTTTATAAATTCAATTTAAAGAACATTTTAGAAAAGAGCAGGATTTTATTTATTACTTTTATTAATCAATTATTTTTTATATCATTAAATTGTATTTTTATTAAAGATACTTTAATGAAATTCAAAAAGTAATATAATATAAATTTTAGAATGTGCCTTAAAATATTATTAATAAATGAAATAACAATTAAGAAAGCTATTTAAAAATGTTATAAGGCGTAGAAATCACTAAGACACTACGTTTGATACTCCCCACAATCGATAGGTCTGGGAGTTTTTTAGTAAAGTAAAAACAACATCTATAGAAATCACTTCAAAATTGTGTAAAAATATTAAGGATCTCAATACTTTTCCCGCTCGATTTGTCTGTTATATCTGAACAATTAAATAAAGCCTTTGAAGTTGTAAAGGGTTTTTGAAAATAAGCTTTACATAATCTTCCATCCTTTTTAAAGCAGTAAAATATATGAAAATTCTGCAAATTCAATGAATATTTTTTTACAGCATTATTATTATTATTATTTATTTCGCTGTTGTTGTTGTTGTCATGGCCAATGACACAAAGCCGAATTTCGTATAATGAGCATAATGC